GGCGGTGACGGCGGCGGCGGCGGCGGCGGCGGCGGCGGCAGCTCTACAGAGCACCAGACACAAGGGCAAGCTCAGTGCGGCGGAGGCCCCGCCCCCACCCTGGCCAGGGACAGACACCGCCCCCTGGCCAATGGAAACACACCCGCCTACCAGGCCTGGCCAATGAGAGAAAGGCATGGGTGGAGACAAACGCCGGGAAAAACAAACAGGCTTCTCAAGGACCCTTCGGGCAGGAAGAACAGAAGCCCCGTTTCACACACGCCCCCGCGGGTCTTACCTCTTTAGAGACGCCTCGCCCTAACTTAACAGAGGAGATACCCGCCTTCATTAATCCGTGTCTTGCCCTCAGGAATGGTTCGGCCAATCGCCACCGCGAGAGGGCGGGGTTAGCCGTGATCCCAGCAGATTCTGGAATCTGTGGTGCCTGGGCCAGGTCCTGAGTGCGAAGTTCTTATGCGCATTTGGACTCTTAGAACAGATGGTGGCTGCATCTGCCCACTCACCAGATGCAGTAGCATTCTCTTAAAGCTCCCAGCAGCAAAAGAGAGATTGCAGAGGGCGTGGGAGAGGCTAAGTATAGGGAGCGGCACACCTACCTGCCTACAAGAACTTGTGAGGCAGAGAAGGAAAAGTTAAGGATGGAGGAGATGAAATTGTTGTTGTTTTTCAGAATTTTGACTTAGTGTAGGTATAAATCTCAGTAGAACCTAGTGGATGACAATATTGGTCTGTACTGCTATCAGGCATACCCCAGTTCAAATCCTGTAACTATCACTTCTTGCTGCATAATGTTCACTGATTTTAATGAATGTTTAAATTTGAAGCCTCCTCAAATGCAAACATGGGTAGTAATTGTACTTACCCTTTAGAGTTTTAAGGATTAGTGAGAATGTAAAAATGTCAGTACAGAGCCATATAATGTGTAAGTGCTTTATAAATGGTGGCCCTAGCTCTTTAGTGGGTTTTTTTCTAATTCAGGATAGCAGGAAATCTTGGGCCATCCTCTATAAATGCTTTAATAATAGCCTGAAGGAAGGGGGGGGCACAAATGTGCTATCCTCAGGGACTCAACCGAAAGTGGCCATGCAAAGGAATTTAGGAATCTGGAAAGAACCACCTCTATAAATCAGCACCCTGAAAAGTATCCTTTAGAAGAAGAGGAGATATAAATGAGCGGGTCATAAATAAACCAGAAGTTGTGTTTCCAAATGAGCTTAATTCCCAGGCTTTTCCCTATGATCAGTTTTTAACTGGACCAAATTAGCAAATGATAGACTAGTTCAGTAGTGTTAAATCAGTCACACCATAAATAAAAGTCTCCTTTGTTTGAGAGACTGCATAATAGAAACCTGCAAGCAAGAAGACAGAGGGAAAGATGAGAAGCACGATCAATATTGATGCCCTTCGCTCTTTCCCATTTGTTGCTTACTTTGCCACAACCTTTTACAGATGCAACCCTTGCCTTTTAACTAATGACCCATTCATTTCTCTGTCCACCTTTCTCCCCAGGTTCTCAAAATTAAGAAGCAAAATGTCCATAATAAAACTGCAAGTGGACTCTAGAAGAAAGAGGTTGTGTGAATACTCTTATTATTGTAAGAGATAGCTGCCTACTGTGAGTTTTAGCTGTTAGGAAAGTCAGTAAGTCCAAGGATACTGCTATCATTTAAACTATTGTGAGCATCAAAAGGTGAAATTCTAATCATTATTGACTCATGCTTAGGTTTTGTGTCAGAGAAAATGTAAAAAAATGGAAATGCCAAAAAAGGTAGGGTTTCTTTATCAAAAGCATAGTCCAAGTTCCTATGTTCTACTACATGTCCTCCTGCTAGCTCTATCACCTTGGGGATATATTCAACTTCTTTGACCCTCAGTTTCCTTAACCATAATATGAGGGAGCTGCATTTGATGACTTCTAAAGTCTTACTGAGATAAACAAACAAACAAACAAAAATTCAATACTCCAAGATTGTGGTATTCAAGAAAATGCCCCAACCAAACACGAGTATCTCAGAATTTGTTACTAATACTTAGAAGCAAGTTTTTGTTCTTGTTGATAACTATCTCAGGAATTAGGATTTCTACACTGAAACAGCCTATAAGTTTTCTGTGTAGTAGGTCATCCCCAGGCCAGCATTACCACCAACATCTGGGAACTTGCTAGAACTACAGAATCTCAGGCTCTACCCCATACCTACAGAATAAGATTTTTCACTGTAACAAGATTCCAGTGTGATTTATACATACACAAATTATGAGGAGCACCTGTCTTTAACATAGTTTTACCACAGACTCAACCTCAGGGAGAATTCCAGTGGGTGTTTTGTGAAACAGAGAAAACTCTAAAAGACCCAGAGGATTTTTGTTAAATTACTGTTTGCAGGAGTCCCAGCAGTTTCCTTGTTATCACAACATAGAAGTAACTCTTCTCGTAAACTGTGGGTAAAAAAAAAAATGATTAATTTAATGAGGTAGTTTTAAGATGGTTGCAAATTTGACTGTGATGAGAGTCATCAACTTTCATATGATTAAGAGTTCTTTTTAGCTCATCCACCCAGTCAGGGGACTGGAAGAGAGATTGCACTTACTCAGTCCTTGAAAGTGTGTGTGTGTGGTGTGCGGTGGTGGTGGGGTGCTTACAATGTGAGTGGATAAATAATGTCATCTTAAATACAAGGGATATATAAAACTAGTTTCTAAATAGTCTATTTTTAGATGCTATTAACCAATTAACTTAAAAAATATCAAATGCTTAATGGTTGTAAGATCTTTCAATATTTTAAAGTGTGACAATGGTCAAAATGTTATAGAGTTGTCATTGCATGAATAAAGTCATTTCTAAAAGTTAAAAGACTTCTTAGAATGCAATTAAATATCTTTAAATATCTTTATTTCATAGTTTTAAGGCTATTATTACCTACATATATTATCAGTATCTCTGGAAATGTGCAAATTAACTGACCTCTTATGAATCATCAGACGATGAATTAATTTCATAAATTGCCAAAAGATGGCATCTATCAATGCATCCCTCTATGCAATAGTCTAAAATATTAAACCTATTTGGAAGATTTTATCATTATGCATTGTATTATCCTTTACTTTGTGGCAAAATATTTTTCAATATTTAATTTCATGTTTTGAAATGAATTTTTATTTTATGTTTTTCTTTTAAAAGTTTTTATTAAATTCTAGTTAGTTAATATACAGTGTAATATTAGTTTCAGGTATAGAATTTAGTGATTCATCACTTACATACAACACCAAATGGTCTTCACAAGAGCCCTCCTTAATCCCCATCAACCACTTAACCCATCCCCCCCACCTCCTTTCCTGAAATGAATTTTAAAATGGAGAGAAATTAATGCTTTAAATGCAAGCTATTTATTTACTACTCATTTAAAAAATTACGTAAAGATAGTACATACTTTTTCTTTGCCTTGGACGTGATGTCCTCTTTGCTTGTACTGTCACAGAATAGGATGACAGCCTTTACTCCCACATTAGTACCATAGATATTAGAGTTTTTTTAAAATGTATTTTACAGAGGAGGCTGCACTTAGTTTGTACTTTATAACTGTTTCTACACCAGATTGTAAGAATTGGGATTTATAATGATGTGATGTTTATGCCTTTTCTATTCTACTAGGAGCAAAGTAATTTACTGACAGCTTTAAGGTGATGGATTTGATAATTAACTAGATGAGGGAAATCCTTTCACAATGTATATGTATATCAAATTATCACAATATGCACTTTAAATGTCTTACAATTTTATTTGTCAACCATACCTCAATAAAGCTGAAAAGATAACGGATTAAAAAAAAAGTCTTAATTGAGGCAAAATTTTTTGAAATCAAAATGGGAAAATTATTGTATCACTTTTTACCACTATGGACACGTTTTCTGGGATTTCACATGCTTAGTTAGGATATCTATACTTCTCTTTTAAAATACTAAATTTTAATGGAATACCTAACCACTTTAAATATATAGTAATTATTGATCCCCAGGACTAAAAATCTAAAAATCCATGGTAAATTGACTCTCATAGCAAATTGACTCTGGCAGTAAATTGACCTAGAAAAAGAAATTTCATGGCTTGGTGAAAATGTAGACGATTGTGGAAGAAAATTAGCTTATTGAATACTGGAAGCATTGATTGTCATTCTCCATGCTCGCCAGCATTTTAAATATGAGGTCAGCTGCCTGTGTTGCAGAGATGTTAAGAATCTTTCTGTATAGTGTATAGTACATATAGTATAATATACAGTATATAGTACTATTTATATATAAGATATGCATAATAGTATATAAGGAGTATTAACTGCCTTTAAATGCATTTTAACTTAGCATTTT